ATTTGCGCAAAATCATGCCAGTGTAGACGCAGCCTTAGTGTCTTTGAGGATCTGGGTTTTACTACTTATAGATGTTAATCTCACAAATCAGGGCTATCTAAGGAGGTTGCTAGAGACTGGAAAGAAATACCTAATTTTAAGAAGAAACAAAGAGTTAAAGAAATTAGCCACCCCAAGAAAGGAAGAAATCTTAATAGGAAAGACAACCACTCTTCCCCGAGGCCAGGAGTCAAAAGGATTTGTGGTCCAATGTGTCCACTAGCTAGGATTTTTACAGTAAGTACAGTCCACATACTACCAGACAAAGCATATTGGTTGTGGCATCTATGAGCAAAGCCAAGACTACCTAAGCAAACATGAAGAGTTCTTAGTGAGCTCATAGACTCATAGACTTTAAGGTTAGAAGGGACCATTATTATCATCTAGTTTAACCCCCTATACTACTTCATCCATGTCTCCAGCAATAAAAGGCCAGTGCAAAAACTCACCGACTCCCACCCTAATATAAATCCCAGATCCAAATGTTCAGGGATGATATAAGAACTTTGTAACCTTTCTGGGTTTTGTAGCAATTCAAGAGCCTCCATTTTGGATGTGAATTCAATTTCTTTCACTCTTCCTTTCTCAGCTTTGTGGCATGAAAATAAATTGGCTTTGGCCTATCATATCCACAGAAAGAAATCATGGGCACAGCATGTCTGGTAGAAGCAAGATGCTCAGTTTTATTTGTTATTGATATTATAATTGGGCTCCCCATCTGGCCAAGGAAAGCAATAAGCTCTGAAGAAGCCAAAAGAAAGAGAAGGAGAGGAGAGGAGTAAGTGATCTCAGGCTGTGCTACTGTCTACAAGCACCACACTATCATCATGAACCCAAGATCGACTCAAGGCAATTTAGTCTCCAGATCCATTCAGTCCTTCTCCAGTTTGTCCCAACTTCGAAGAGCACAGCACACCAGCAGCTTAGCAGAAGGAGAATTTGAACTAGATGGGCTTGAGACACAAAGAGTCAGATCCTCAACTAGTGTAAATCCACATAGCTTCACTGAACTCAACGCTTCTATGCTGACTTACAACAACCAAGGCTCTGGTTCAAAGCCTGGATCCAAAGCCTGACATGTTCAGATCCAAGGCATTGGGGGAGGCCCAACATGAGAGACCACTGGGTTATTCAAATAAATAAGAGCTAAGTGGAGTTCAGGGCCCAACTGGTTTAATAGAACTAGCTGCTGACCATCTGAATAGCTGTGTGAAATGGTCAGGTGTTTTTCCTGGACTCTCAAGGAACTAATTTTTCTATCTTCTCTAACCTGCTACCCCTAGGAAGCGGACTGCCCATTGTATTGTTTCATATTGTGCCGCTCCTGAGACATCTCAATCTTACCCAACAAGGGCCATGTAGGAAACTTGCTGGCAGCCTCTGGGCCATGCTAATTTACATATAATGGAGCAGAAAAATGAGGTTTCTTTGATGAAAATGGACTGTTACTTGATTGGGCCTGTAGTTTGTTCAATTTACTTATGTATTTAAAATGGGCTGCTATCAACTATATTGTCAAACTGCATCAGTCACATTCTGGCCACTCTATTATAACCCAGTGATCATAATTATAAATAAATGACTTCATTGAGTCTTCTTATGTGAATAAGGCAAACAGGATTTGGCTGTGAAACCTGTCAGAAAGAAAGTGGCCAAGTTTAAAAATGATTTTAGGGACCACAAAGAATAAAAACCTCAAACTTCTATATTTTAATTAAGCTGGGATGCTATGCCAAATTCTAAGTAACTTACACAGGTGTAAATCAAAATAAGCCCCACCAATTTCAATGGTTTTATACCATGCTTACACCAGCATAAATGAGATCAAAATTTATCCACATGCCACTCAGGACTCAAAGAGAATAAAAGGAACAGTAACAAAGGAATACAAGACAAAGCCATGCAGAGGATATAGGGAGCAGATGGAGGAGGGGAGTTGAGGAGAGATGTTAGGATTAGAGAGTTCATTTTCCTTTACAATGTCCATTTGTAAACTACAGTTGACATAGCAGCTCTTGCCTAATACAGACCACAGTGTAACTCTCCAGTCCATGTCAGGATTCTATTAAAGCCCCAGAAAGAAATGAAAAAGATCAGTAACAGCAGATGGAAATGAAATATAAACGCTCACATAACACAGTTACAGATCAGTTTCTTGCAGCCCTAGCTGTTAGGGACAATGGTTGACTCTTCTCAGGTTGAGCCTAAATGCATAGCAAACACTTATGCAAAGTGTCTGCTTTGGGGTGCAACATGGGGCGGCTCCTCACAGCTTTCAATGGTCTTTATACACTGCAGAGTGTGTGAGGGAACAACAGGAGGAGGGTCACTGCTGACAGGTATGCAACAGCAGGGATAGTGCACTCTAGGAAGGCACTGGTTCCAAAGCTTTGCCTTTGCTTTACCTCCTTTCCCATCATGCAGAGTGGAAATGCTTTGGCTGTATTCCTGGCTGTGCCTTTCCCTGGGTTCTTCTCCCGTGCTGGTGTTAGGTGGTTGTTACTTTTAACCTAAATAAAGATAAGGAAGCACCCTGAGTGGATGCTCACCTGCTAATTAAACACTGGACAACTCATCCATTTTGTGTGTCTTCTGAAGTGAGCCATAGGTTAACATCTCCCATGTTTCTAAAGACCCCAACCCTCAGCAGCTTAAATTTCCCCTTTAGTTTGCAGGGCCTTAGATGTTCCCTGCAAATGTGTCTTACCAGCCATTCTAAGTATCCCTGCAGTTGCTGTGCATTCATTTTAGAATAGTCCTCTTGGAGCTCAGAGGCATCTCTTCTTCTAACTCATCCAGGCATCTCTTCCTATGGTACAGCGCCATCTGCAGTGGCAATTGCATGAGATGCATTTGGAACAATTATAAATCGTGCACACTAAAGGTTACAAATTGTTTATGATCAAACCTCAATAGTTTAAGGCCAGATCATGATGATGGGCTTTATGAGTTCTACTCCTGCCTCTCAATAGTTCAAAAACACACAATGTAAAGATTTGCAAATCACAACTGAAAACAAACATAAGTTTGGGAAGTGCTATTCCTACAGGGAGAAGAGCTAATTAATTCCACCTTCTGCTGCTGAGCTTGGTGACAGGTGTGTCTCACTGTAAATTAGTGCCTGACGTTGGAAGGGCTGTACTCTAGGGAACCCACAGGAGTCAGTCTTTCTTACACCCTTTGATGATAGACTTCATGACCCAAACACAGGACTGAGGGTTGATTGGCTAGCTATAACGAAAATTTACAATAAAAAAAAAATCACACTGATGTGCTCTGGAAAAGTAACAACAAAGTCTGATTTTAAAATCCATGTAAATATGGTGCGAGAGAAAGAGCCTGAAATATTGCTGCTTGGTCCTTGTGCTCAAGAGGATCAGAATAGTTTTGTGAAGGACAGTGAAGAACTAGAACTCAAGAGATGTGAATACTATTGATTCTGCCACTGATTTTCTGTGTGTCCTTGGTCAAGACATTTTGCTTCCCTGAGCCTCAGTTCCTCATCTGTAAGATGGAGCTAACACTACTCCCATTCGACCATCCCTTGTTTCCACTGGAAACTCTTTATGCAGAATCACTTTCTTACTGTGTGTTTGCACAGGACTAAGCACTGAGAGGGACTAGAATGCTGAGGTTTCTTTCCTGGAAATTTTTTTAAAACAAAAAGTAAAAACAAAAATTTTCACTTTTCATCCAAAGCATTTTCCTTTTTAAATTAAAACAAGTTTTCATGGCAAATAGGTTCTTCCCCAGCCACAATGTGTTTTGCCAAAACCTCATTTTCTGTCAAAAGAACAATTTTGACCAGCTCTTCTATTAGCTCACAAGAGGCCTCTGCTCTATCTTGGAGTTTAGTGACTAGTACAGGGGTTTATTCCGCTTCACCCCAACTTTTTCACTTTGCACTCAACACAACTAGGCAGGAGGGAACTAGAGTCTGTTTTGTTTAAACAGAATTGAGCTACTACTGTAGAAACACTGTTACTAGGGTAGACGCCTGAGATGGAAAGATTCTGCTTGGCTTCAAATCTCAACATGAGTTTGCAGGACTGTCAGAAATCAATGGAGTTACACTGATTTATGCCAGCTGGGAAGCGGGTCCATGTACTTGTTAACTGAGAACATTTGACATGGCATCTCTGAGAAGTCAAGTTGGAAGCCCCATTATATGTATGTTTGTTTTTTAAGACAGTTGCTTTTGTAGAGTACAAAATACTGCACTTTAAAGGACTTCATTGCAAACCAGTCCACAAGGAAATATTTCGAACCTATATTGTTGTGCAGGAGAACACCACTGCAAGTTGATAAAGAAAGAAAGTTCCCTTCTAGCTTGGTTGGTGGCACTAGGAATATCCCATTTCTCTTCTAGTTATGCACCAAGAATGCAGGATTTCTGTCTTTTGTTTATTTACCTGCATCCTTGAAAAAGAATGACAGGACCATGTTTCTCCCTCACACACCACACGCCTTCTGCTCACATATGACCACCTTTGCTTATGATCGTTAACTGATTTTAAGGTACCACAGCTTCTTGTAAAAGCTCCCCCTGCATTCCCTGAGGGCCAGGAATCAAACCAGCAGCACCCTTTACGGAAGTGAGAACACAGAGTCAGAGCTCTCAGTCTCTCATACAGCCTGCTAGCGCCAACCGGGAAATGAGGGGTTCTGGCTGCGGGGTGGGGTTCATGAGAAGGGCAGAGCTATGCCTGGCAGAGCGGGTTCGTAGACTCACAGGATTGTGCGGATGTGATCCAGTCACAGAGTGCATCTAGAAGTGCAGCTTCTTCCCCATGCATATTGGAACTGGTCTTTTGCAGAGGTAGCAAGCAAGGCTTTGGAAATTAATATGCGCTTGTATTTACGGTAATGGCCATTTATTTAAACACTGCGACATTTATCTCCCCAGTATCACAATTTTTCCTTTTGAAAGGAAAATTCAGTGCATGACTGTTCCCTGCTGAGCTCTGTCGGGATTACTTAGGACAAGGTCCATGCAAATAGGACAATGAGCCACAGGCTGACAGAGGTCACTGCCACGGCACTGCTTGGGAAATACTTCTGGTTTACATATTCAATGATAGTCATCACAGCTGGGGTAGTCTCCTCACATGTGGGCTGGATCTGGTCTGGTGGGAGAATAAATCCGTAGGTACCCCGGTCTCTCAGCTCAAACGTGTAGGAGAATGGAATGCCAATCAGGTGAGCCCAGTCCCGTGAGGAGCCAGAGTTCTTGTCTATTAATTTAAATATACGGGTGAGACAAATATATCAGGCACCATTCTTTATGCATGATCATAGTTTATCCAAAATTGCCGCACAATCCCTGTCCCAGGCTGTATCACCACACCACATGTAGCCACATTTCACTGTGGGAAAAGTTATTCTAGATTAAGCACTTGATTACATTGAAGATCTTTCCATAAAACTTGCATAGGGAAAATACCCCTTTATAAGAGACTTACCCAATAACCAGAGATGCATTCAAAGGGTCTGTGACGGGGCTAGCCTGCCCCGCACTGAGCAGGAGGGAGGGGAGCCCGTCTATTGGGTAGAATATGCCCCTCCCCACAGCCCTACCGGGCATGCTCGCAGTGCAGCCTCACTATAAAAGGCTGCTGGGCTGCTCAGTTGGTGTGGACTGCTGGGGAGGAAGCATCTTTAGCCCCAGATGCAGGGCCACAGCTGGACCTGCTGCCAGAATCAGAGCCGGAGGGACTGCCGCTATTGCTGCTACCATCCCTAGGTCAAGCACGCCTCCAACGCCAACTCCGGGGGGCCGCCCGCCCGCCCAGTGCAGCCTCACTATAAAAGGCTGCTGGGCTGCTCAGTTGGTGTGGACTGCTGGGGAGGAAGCATCTTTAGCCCCAGATGCAGGGCCACAGCTGGACCTGCTGCCAGAATCAGAGCCGGAGGGACTGCCGCTATTGCTGCTACCATCCCTAGGTCAAGCACGCCTCCAACGCCAACTCCGGGGGGCCGCCCGCCCGCCCGCCCTGCTCACGCCCCCCCGGCCGCCGCGGGGGGGCCGCCCGCCCCGCTGCAGTGGACATCCCTTGCACTGCTGCCCCAGAGACAGAACCGGCTGACGTTGCCGCCGCCGCCAGCCCAGCATCGCCAGGTGGGACCTCCGTCGGCCACAAGGCTGGGGTAGGAAGCAACCCAGGGCGAGGGGCAGGGAGAACCCCAGTGGGCTCGGTGCGTTTCGGGGAGGACCCCCTGCTGAGCCAGTGGTGGGAACCACCCACCACTATTAGGGCCCTGGGTTGGGGTCCGGTGGAGAGGGAGGGCCTGGACCCCCCTACCCCAACCCCGCAGGGCGTGGACTAGGCCTCAGGGCCTGCTTTAAACCCCCCAGACCAGGCCTCAGGGTCTGCGAGTTGGGTGGGCCTGCTTTAATCTCGGGGAGGAGAGGACGGGGCAGGGGGACCATATACCTTCTTCTAAAGCCTTTGGCCTCAGCCACAAGTGGAGACAAGGTACGGATTACAGACCAGGGTTTGTGAATATTATCCATTGCACAGCCCCATGAAAGGGCTTCAACCTTCACATTTTGGGACTCTCTTGCTGGGTAAAGGGGTAGTTGAGTCTCCACCATCTCTGTTGAAATGGTCAGACTGCTAGCAGTGGTGGCCCTAGCCTAGCTGCCAGCACCTGGCACCCTAGGCAAACCATGCAATCGGGCCCCCCCCCCAGCCCCAGGGGCAGATATCGACTGAGGGTTTGGTTCTGTGCTGGGGAGAGGGGGGCTGGGGATGGAGTTCTGTGGCTGGGGGCCTGGAGGTTGGGGGCTTGGTGCCAGGAGGCTGGGGATGGTGGCCTGGGGGATGGTGATGGAGTTTGGGGGCTGGGGAGAGGGAACAGGGTGCCAGTCGGGGGAGAGATTCCCCTGCACCCGCCTCCTCCCAAGATCCCACGTCCCCCAGAGAGAAGCCGGCATGCACCTCCCCCGGGGCCGAATCCCCCCTCCCGCGGAGCAGGGGAACTCCCCCCGCGTTCCTCCTCCCCTGGGGCCGACCCTCCCCCTCCCGTGGGGCAGAGGAAACCCCCTCGCGTTTCTCCTCCCCCGGGGCTGACCCCCTCCTCCCACGGGGCCGGGGGCCCCCCCCCAGTGGTTCTGCACCCCCCCCAAGATCCCACCCTGCCAGAGGGAAGCCAGCATGCGCCTCTCCCGGGGCAACCCCCCGCTCCCGCAGCACAGGGGAAACCCCCCGGGCGCCTCCTCTCCCAGGACTTACCCACCTCCTGGCTGCAGGGAAGCCGTGCTCCAGGTAAGGCGTGGGAAATGGAAGGGGCCGGGTTGGAATTTGGCGCCCCATGCAACTTGTCGCCCTAGGCGTGCCTAGTTTTCCTATAGGCACGGCTGCCCCTGACTGCTAGCCTCTATCATCTAGTGCTCCTGGGGTATGGACACCTGATAGCTAGGAACTAGATTGAGACTAATCTGTTTCACACACAACATCACCCACCAGATTATAACAGCTGATAGACGCTATAAACCCAATTTGGATTTGGATGGCTGACTGACAGGTCTAGTGAAATCCTTTCTTTGGAGATGTCAATAGGACTTTTGCCATCAACTCCAAAGGGACCAAGATTTCAACTTGTATCACATATCAATCAACTTGTGTGCCCTGGGATACTTTCATGATGAATTCTATATAAGAACTAGCATCTGACTGAATCTTAGAATGATAGAATCCTAGGGCTGGAAGAGATCTCAGAAGGTCATCGAGTCCAGCCCCCTGCCCAAGGCAGGACCAATCCCAACTAACTCATCCCAGCCAGGGCTTTGTCAAGCTGGGACTTAAAAACCTCTAGGGATGGAGACTCCACTACTTCTCTAGGTAACCCATTCCAGTGCTTCACCACCCTCCTCGGGAAATAGTTTTCCCTAATACCCAACCTAGACCTTTCCCACTGTAACTTGAGACCACTGCTCCTTGTTCTGCCACCCGTCACTACTGAGAACAGCCTCTCTCCATCCTCTTTGGAACCTCATCTTCATGCTGTCAGCTGTTCAGCATATGAAAGGACTCCACAAAGGAGTCCCCAATCAAATGGCTGCAACCTACATACTCACCTAAACCAGCTCATCCATTATTACTCAAAGTGGAAAAGCAATGAAACAGCAATATCGATGAACAAGGCACCTGGACTACCTTGCTCACCTCACGGACAGGAGAATCTCACAACACAGACTTACACAAAATGGAAGAAGTTGGTCCCACAGTAAAATTGGTCCCGTGCTTTTCCTTCAGTGCAACTGCTGCTTTCTCTCCTGCTTCCATCTGTACATTTGAAATGGAAAGAGTCGTAACAGAATGATTTGGAGGGGATTAGTATTTTTCTCCATTTCAGGCTTGATTCTGTAGCTCACTGGGTTCAGGTTTTGGCATCAATTATTCATTCAGCACTAGAGCTGGTGGAAAAATTTGTCCAGCTATCAAATGTTCCTTTTTAATTGCATAAGTAGGAGGCTGTAATATTGGAAAAAGAAGATCTGAGTAATATACTTCCACTGTCAGAGATCTGAGTGGTTGTGGCACTGATCAATCACTATCTGCCTACCAACTACTCAATGACACATATAGGGTCCCCATTACCACATTAGCTGACCTCCACACAGTCTTTAATGTACTTATTCTTACCATACCCTGGGGTGGCAAGGCAGAGCTACTGTTCCCACATTAGAGAGGAAACTGAGGCACAAAGAGGCTAAGTGACTTAGCCTTTGGCTCAAACCCAGCTCTTCCAAGTCCAAAGCTAGTGCCCAAAATGCTGTCGTGTTTTATAAACACACATTTTACCTGAATGTATGGGGCCTGATTTTAAAACACTAGGCATATGTCTATCTGGCAGTTAAAAGCCATGGCTGGCCCTCACAAATGCATTTGCATGAATGATTCTGCCCACACAGACAGT